TTCCGTCACGATGTTGTAGCGGTCGAACATGGCGCGCGACTTGTGGCCCGTGATAGAGACATCATGACCTTTTCGGGGATGCCTTCGAGGGCCATGCAACGCGCCGCACCGCGACGCAGACTGTGAAACCGCCGATGCCCCAGCCCGGACTGATGACAAGCCTTGAGCCAAACTTCATAGAAATTCTTGAGTTGATGTCCGTTGCGATGGAAAACGTGGAGAGCAAGTGCCCGCCCTATCTTGCGGCTCTGCCACCGCCGCTCGATCAGCGCCGCCAGCTCCCCTTGCAGTACTAAGACACGGACATCCCGCCCCTTATTTTGTGCCGGCTCCATCCGGACCACAGCACCGGAACGGTCTACATTATTCCACTGAAGGCCGACGATTTCACCTTTCCGCCAGCCTGTCAGGAAGCCAAACAGAACGACATCCCTCAGATATTCGGGAAGGTGCGGGAGCAGCAGGTTGACTTCCTCACGGGTGAAAAATTCGTTGCACACCCCCAGTTCCGGCAAACGCTGGATGGACGGTTTCCTCGAAACGAGGTCATGCTGGTATCCGAGACTGAAAGCCCTGCGTAGGACGTTCATTTCTCGGTGGATCGTTTCGGGTTTGCGTCCCGCCCGCTGTCTGGCTGCCATGTACTGGCTGCCATGTAATGGGTAATAACTAGGCCGGTACAGGCGTCAACCGTGTATCCAGCAAAACACTGACGCAACCGCCGCAATATCGAGCCGTTGGCTGGGCTTGTACGATCCTTGAGCTGGTATTCTTGCTCAACCAGATCAAACAGGTCCTGCATCATGACGACCCGTGTTACCGTCCGTGTTGGCAGAAGCTGATGAGGAACCGTGCCCGCCGCCACCTCTCCGATGCGCTGCCGCAATAACCTGACCGCATCTTTACGCTCCCGCGACTTCGACGACTCACGGTATTCCCGTCCGTTGCAATCGTACGCGACCCACCAAATCGAACCGCGTTGGAAAACTCTTCCATTACCTCGCATGCTGCCTCCTTTGCAGGGGCAGTGCCGCGGCCATTTTAGCCGCCTGATGCTCGGCAATCCATTCTTCCAGACCACGGGCTGAAAAACGGTGGACTCTGCCTATCTGAAAGGCGAAGGGCAGCGATTCGATATTGTCGCGTACCCACTTGGTGGAAGTGCCGAGGCGGCTGGCGATTTCGTCGGTGTTCAGGAGGTAATCGGTCTCGGGAAGGACGGTTCGTTGTTGGAGTGCGAGGATGCGGGCGTACAGGGCCCTTTGCAGGGCGGCGGCAAGAGGCAGCAAGTTCACGATGTCGTCAGCTTCATAGCCGGGTATCTCAGCGAGCAGCCTCTGAAGTTGCTGTCCTGGGGACATCGTTCCCCTTCTATCTATCAGCTTGTCTGCGTCGCATTTTCCTATGAAGAGCATCCTGTAGGTAGGGGTATTGGTCTCGTTAGAGTGATTTGCCTGAGCCTTTTGCAAAACTGTGGAGTCGTCGGGGATTATTGAGGGTAAGAGGTTGACTTGAACGGGACAGGCTGTCTTTGCTTCATGTCATGTATTGTGCGACCACCACGTGAAGGAGAAAACGGCCATGTCCCTGCGTACGATCCTATCGAATTACGGCTTCGCCTTGCAACGAGAGCTTTTCCCCACGCTCGAAGAAGAACTCGGTCCCTTGGGCGAGCGCTACGAGTTATTCGTCACGGTGCTCGGGTTCGTGCCGGTTGAGCCATTCCTGACGTGCTGGCGTGGCTTGCCGGGGCGCCCGCAGGCGGATCGTGCGGCGCTGGCACGAGCCTTTAGCGCCAAGGCGGTGTTCGCCATCTCGACCACCCGCGCGCTCGTTGAGCGCCTTGTCATCGACCGGCCGCTGCGTCGCCTGTGCGGCTGGAGCCAGGGCGCGGCGGTCCCCAGCGCGGCGACCTTCGCGCGGGCCTTCAGCGACTTCGCTGACAGCGCCTTGCCAAGCCGCCTGCACGAGGCGCTGATCGACAAGACCCTGCAGGGTCATCTGGTCGGCCACGTCTCACGCGATTCGACGGCGATCTTGGGGCGCGAGAAGCCAGCCCCGAAGCCGCACCAAGCGGCTACGCCGAAACGCCGCCGCGGGCGACCGCGCAAGGCTGAACAACGACTGGACAAGGCGCCCCGAAGGCTGGCGCGCCAGTCCAACATGATCCTGCCGGAGAGGCTCGCCGACCTGCCACGCACCTGTGATGTTGGCGTCAAGCGGGACGCCAAGGGACATCAGGAATCATGGAACGGCTACAAGTTGCATATCGACGCAGCCGATGGCGGCGTTCCACTCAGTTGCATCCTGACCTCGGCCTCGTTGCATGACAGCCAAGTGGCGATTCCCCTGGCGACCCTGACGGCCGCACGAGTCACCAACCTCTATGACCTGATGGACTCGGCTTATGACGCGCCCGAGATCAGAGCGCACCGTGAGTCGCTGGGGCATGTTGCAATCATCGACGCCAATCCCCGCAGTGCTTCGCGTAAGCTGGAACGCAAGACCGCGGCGCGGGCGCAACGTACCGTCGGCCACGTCTACGCCGAGCAGTTACGCTACCGTGAGCGCAGCCCGTCGAGCGTGTCAAGGGTCGTCTCAAGGACGAGTTCGGCGCTCGCCAAGTCCGCGTGCGAGGTCACGCCAAGGTGCTGTGCCACCTGATGTTCGGCATTGTGGCGCTGGCGGTGTCGCAGTTGATGCGCCTGTTGAACTGAAACCGACTTGCTTCCACCCCTCACCTCTTGCAGGCGTCCTGTCTCGGCAGGGCCACACCGGACAGGTTTGCTCATACACCGTCAAGGAAACCTCATTGTCGCTGGATTGTGGCCGCTGAGAAGTGCTGCAGATGCCCTACTGACGACGTATCGATGCCGCAAACACCCCAAATATCAAATCCGAATACTTCGCTCTCGACGTTCCGTTAGGGTTTTGCAAGTGGCTCGGAGGAGCCTTTTGCAAAACTGTGGATGCAGGGGAGTTGTTGAGGGCAAGAGGTTGAAGTAACGGGACAGGCCGCCTTTGCCTGAAATCATGTGTTGTGCAACCACTACATGATGGAGAGAACGGCCATGTCCCTTCGTGAAATCCTGTCGAATTACTGGTTCGTCTTTCAACGGGAGCTTTTCCCTGCGCTCGAAGAAGAGATCGGTCCCCTGGGGGAGCGCTACGAGTTGTTCGTCACGGTGCTCGAGTTCGTGCGGGTTGAGCGATTCCTGACGTCTTTCCACGCCCTGCCAGGACGCCCGCAGGAGGACCGAGCGGCGCTGGCGCGCGCCTTTATCGCCAAGGCGGTGTTTCAACTCCCGACCACCCGGGCTCTGATCGAGCGGCTGGCAGTCGACCGACCGCTGCGTCGCTTGTGCGGCTGGAGTCGTCTTGGGCAGGTCCCGAGCGCGGCGACCTTCTCTCGCGCTTTTAGCACCTTCGCTGACAGTGCCTTGCCGAGCCGCTGAACATGAGCCATCATCGAGAAGACAGGCAGGTCATCTGGTCGGCCACGTGTCACGCGATTCGACGGCCATCAAGGGGCGCGAGAAACCGACGCCGAAGCCGCCGGCCAAGCCGAAACGGGGGCGTGGCCGACCGCGCAGGGGCGAGCAACACCCGAGCACCGCCGTCTGCAACGTCAGCCGCAGATGACCCTGCCGCAGATGCTCGAGGACCTGCCACGCGCCTGTGACGTCGGCGTCAAGCGCAACGCCAAGGGATATCAGGAATCATGGGTCGGCTACAAGCTGCCTATCGACGCAGCCGATGGCGCCGTTCCGCTCAGTTGCATCCTGACCTCGGCCTCGCTGCATGACAGCCAGGCTGCGATTCCCTTGGCAACCCTGACGGCGGCACGGGTCACCAATCTCCATGACCTGATGGACTCAGCCTGTGATGCGCCCGAGATCAGGGCGCACAGCGAGTCGCTGGGGCATGTTGCGCTCATCGACGTCAATCCGCGCAATGCCGCGCGCAAGCTGGAACTGAAGACGGAGACGCAGGCACAACGCGCCGCCGGCCACGTGTACCCCGAACACCTGCGCTACCGTGAGCGCACGACCGTCGAGCGGGTTAACGGTCGGCTCAAGGATGAGTTTGGCGCCCGCCAGATACGCGTGCGCGGGCACGCCAAGGTGCTGTGCCACCTGATGTTTGGCATCCTGGCGCTGACGGTGACACAGTTGCTGCGCCTGCTAAACTGACCTCGACCTGGTGCCATCCATCTATTGCAGGCTGCACGCTCTCCTGGCAGGGGAGTCACGGGACAGCGTTGTCCGCACACCGCAACGGATGCCGAATCGTCTGTGGATTTTGGCCAACTTGCAACACCGGAGCCGTCCTGGCGGCGTATCCGGCGCAGAAATGTTACCAAATCGTTGCTTTTTTAACGTCTGCCGCTCGCTCCTGACGCTACAGGGTTTTGCAAGTGGCTCGGTGAATCGGATTGCTCAGTCGTCACACCGCCGAGCGGCGACACTCGGTGACAGACTGAGAGGCAACATGACCGCCCCGATATGAAGCTGGGAAGCCGAGGCGCTTCGACTTGCATGACATTCGTCAGAATTCGATGGTCGCGTGCCACAGGGGGTTGTTCCGGGGTCACTGTCGCCGATGCCGCAGCATTGAAGGTGCCATCTTCAAGTGCGTTCACTTAGACCAGGAATGTTCGCAGAAGCTTGGCCAGTTGTAGCCAAATCGCCCTCGCATGGCCCTCAACACCCAAAGTTCTTAATCTCAAACGAAATGCACGTTAGAGGTGTGGTTTTGGTTGATCCCCTTTGTCGCTGGCTTACAATAGCGCTGAAGCGATGCCAAGGCATCCGCGGTGCAGGCGCGACGTCAACCCTGAACACCTACCGTAGAGCGAAGGAGAGGCTGATGGCAGAAGCAATCCGAGTCGTGCACTACTTGAACCAGTTTTTCGGCGGCATTGGCGGCGAAGCACAGGCCTACGAGCCGGTCCAGTCAAACCGGGACCGGTAGGACCCGGTCGTGCGCTCCAGGGCGCCTTGGGCGACCAGGCGACGATTGTCGGGACCCTCATTGCGGGTGACAACTATTTTACGGAAGAGTTGGACGCTGCCAAGCCCGCGGTGGAAACATATCTTGACGAACTCAGGCCCGATGCGGTGATCGCGGGTCCGGCTTTTGACGCCGGACGATATGGGCTGGCTTGCGCGGAGGTGTGTCGTATCGCCGCCGCTCGAAACATCCCTGCCGTTACGGGCATGCATCCTGACAACGCGGGAATCCTCACGTACCGGAAAGATTTACTAGCCGTATCGACTGGCACGGACAGCACCGAGATGGTTGCGATATTGCGCCAGATGGCTACGCTGGCCCTTAAACGGGTCGGCGGTACAGAGTTGGGACCGGCGGTCGCTGAGGGTTACGTCCCTACTGGCAGAGGCCAAGAGGCGATGCACGACAAGTACGGTTATGAAAGAGCAGCCGACATGTTGCTGGCCCGCATGGCGGGGAAACCTTACAACTCTGAAATGTGCCTCACCGGATACGACGACGTCGCACCCGCTCCACCGTTACGCGACCTGAAAGACGCCGTCATCGGGCTGGTCTCCAGCGGTGGCCTGGTGCCTCGCGGTAACCGGGACCGCCTGGTGGGTTCCAAGGCGGAACAGTTTTTCAGATACGACATCGAGCAAAGAGGCCCGTCGGGGGTGTCAAAGCTGGGCGGGAGGTTCCTTGAGGGGTAGGGGGGGGCCAGCTAGACAGGATGGGCGTTAAGAAGGGGCCTTTGTGAAGGTGCTGAGAGGAGGGGCAATCGGGGTGGGGGGTAGGGGGGGTGGGTAGGCAGGGGGGGGGGGGGAAGTCAGTTCCCATGACCTGGAAAGAATGCGAGTCGGACCGGCGGCCTTAGGCACCCCTATCCTCAACACCAAGGATCCCAATTACGCCATGCCCTTGAGTACCGTGCGTTATCTCGAAGACGCTGGGCACATCAAGCATGTCTACCCGCAGTTCTTCTCGACCACCGGCAACGCCACGGCGGTAAGCGCTGCCAGACGCATGGGCGGTGAGATTGCATCGGAACTGACCGCAAACCACGTGGATGGCGTTTTGCTGGTGGCCACGTGAGGCAGTTGTAACCGTTGCGGTGCAACGTTAGCCAAGGAAATTGAGAGGGCAGGAATTCCTGTGGGTATGATGACGGCCATGCCGGCCATTCCTCTTTCGGTGGGCGCCAGCCGTGTCGTTCGAGGTGTGCGTGTGCCCCACGTGTGCGGGGACCCGGCCTTATCCGAAGACAGAGACCACGAACTCAGAGCACGCATCGTCACGACTGCCCTGAACGCCCTGACCACATCCGTATCCACGCCGACCCTCTTCGAGCCCGACCAGACGGTGCTGGAGGAGGTCGCACGATGAAACTTGAAGTCGGAACATTTCCGGTCCATGACATCGTGTTCGGAACCCAGACGCGCTGGCAAGACGGCGTCCTGAGCGTCGACAAAGACGAGCTTCTCGCCTTGGCCATGGAAGACCCCTATATCGCCTGGGCCGACATCGACGTGACTCGCCCCGGGGACTCGGTGCGCATTGTGCAAATCCGAGACATCGTTGAGCCAAAGGTCAAAGTATCCGGTCCGGGGGTCACCTATCCCGGTATCTCCGGGCGTGACGTGACCACCGTGGGGCAAGGCCGCACCCATCGCCTGGGTGGCATGACCCTCATCGCGTGCTCGGAAATGCCCGGTTTCAACCCCGACGGGGCGCACTGGTGGGGGACCACATCCGTCGAGGGCCGCAGCGACATTACCTTTATCGATATGTCGGGACCGGGCGCCGCAACCCCTTTTGCCCACACCATCAACCTCTGTTTGCAAATGGAGCCTCATCAGGAATCCTATGCCGATGACTGGAACCGGGCGAGCAATGCCGCCATGCTGAAGCTCAACGACCGTCTGGCGGAGACCACACGAGGCTTTGAACCGCCCGAGATCACCACGTACGATCTTGACTATCGCGACGACGCCTTACCCAATGTCGTGTTTGTCCCGGCCTTGGCTTCGGCGGAGTACCGGTTCGGTCCACGTACCAGCCTGGGCACCAACGTATACGGTATCGGGCGCCTCACCGAGCCCTGGCTTCTGCAACCCACGGAGATGATCGACGGCGCTGTATTCGGCACCTACATGGAACATTTTACCTGGCCCATCATGGAAACGATCGTGCCCCACCTGTGCTCGCGTCATGGCCGGGACTTCAATTTCGTCGGTTGCATCGTGGTGCGCAGCAATTGGGAAGCCCAAGCCGAAAAACAGCTCATGGCAAACCGGGCGGCGCAGATGGCCTCTGCCCTAGGAGCCGACGGGGCCATTGTGACCACCAATCAGCGCGGTCAGCGCTTTGTGGAAACGGTTCTCACGGTTCAGGCACTCGAACAGGTGGGGGTGGATACGGTCCTCATGACCGAAGAGGAAGACAACGAAAATGGCAATGCGCCGCCGTTGCTGATGTCCGTGCCGGAGATCATGTCAGCGGTGAGCACGGGGACCGGCGGCGTCGAGGTCACCTTTCCAAAGGTGAAGCGCGTTCTCGGGCTGCGCCAGCCTGGCCCACAATGGTACGAGGAAAAGCCGCCGATCCACGGCAGATACGGCGTTACCCATCTGCATGACTTTTACGGCTTTGGTAAGCAGGGGTGCGTGGATTTTTGACGTGCGTTTCGTTTGAGATGAAGAATTTTTCGGAGTGGAGGTCCCTGTGAGGGCGTTTTGGTTACAACTTCGATGGACTCCACGTCACCGCGGCCCGCATTAAAGGGTCTCGGTCACACTCCCTCAACGTTTGCCCGTCTCCGAACGCGCCTCTTCTATCCATTCCGGTGGCCACGTTTTGATACGGAGGCTACGGTGTGTAAGGGCGATGGAACCATCGTCGAGGCGCTTTATCAGAAACGACGGGGTCTCGTCCAGCGTTTGCCAGTACTCGTGCGCCAAGGTGCTGCTCAATTCGTTCCAGTGCCGATCCGTCAGCAGGTCCTGCAATTCATCCCTCGAAATCGACAACTTATTGTCTAAATCGTTACCTCGCACCAGCCTTGCCGCCATCTTCCTTCACCGGCGCACTGAGCATGCCAGCCTTGCGTCTGATCTTGAGCCGGCAGGGAAGTACCAAAAAGCGGGGGGCAATTGCAGATCTGTGCGGGTGATGGCATAAGGTCCGTATGGCCAACCCGGAGGTATTTCCGAGCATTGTTCAACTGAAGGTCCGGCTGCTGGGCACCAGCCCCATGATCTGACGGCGAATGCTGGTGCCTGCATCCGTGTCGCTGCATGAGCTGCCTGAATGCCCCCGGCTTTTTGGTACTTCCCTATCTCCCTCCTGCTGTTGCAAAGACTGGTTTCACATTGAGGGAACGGCGACAATAAGCCTACGTTTGTGCAGGACGCTACGCAGCAGGGTAACACCCAGGACTGGAATTGTCTGAGATGCACATTGCGAACGAACTGCAGAAAATCCGCCAAAACATGGATGCCTTCGTAGTTGGCCACGAGGCGGTGAAGGAAGCCATGTTGCTGGGCCTCGTTGCCCGTGAGCATATCTATCTCCAAGGCGCACCGGGTTGCGCCAAAACCTTGCTGGCGGAGGTGGTTGCCGCCTCGGTGAATCGCCCGTCCTTCTTTTGTCAACTGCATCGTGATACCCGTCTGACCGAACTGATCGGGGAGGTGATCCTGGAAAGATCCGTGCTGCCCGATAGTGGGGGAGAGGTCGTCCGTCAGCGGGTGCGCCAAGGAGGGATACTCACGTCCGAGGTGGTAGTGCTTGATGATATCACCCGAGCGCCCGGGGAGGCTCTGAATGTTCTGTTGCGATTGCTCAACGAACGCAAGTACCACACGCAGCCCATCCCGCTGCGCTTAGCCATGGCCACCTCCAATCCCACGGCGGAGACCTATTACAATGAACCGCTCGACCCGGCTAATCTGGACCGCTTCACGCTTCAACTGCAAACTCGAGGAACCATCTGCGCCCAACAGTGGGACAAGGCCAGTGCCATCGTGGACCGCGGCCATGTGACTCCGGCAACGCTGGCCGTTCGGCATCCGGTTACCATTGACCTACTGGATGAAGCCCACCGGGCCATGCAAGACGTGGATGTGCCGCACCACGTGATGCGGGTCTATCGCAATGTCCTCGACATCCTGCAAAACGAGCATGACTGCAACCCCACGAACTCGCTTCTCAGCGACCGCACCATGTTGGTTAAGGTTCCGGTCATGATCAGGGCCATGGCTGTGCTTGCCGGACGCTCTGTGGCAACGGCTGAAGATTTGCGTGTCTTGAAGTCGATCCTGACCTTCCGGGTTCCGGAAGCGGTTTATCAGCAGCTTGATGAGATCTTGCAGCGCGCCGCAGCGTTGGCCATGGGTCTGCCAGAGTGGTTCGATGACCAGACGCAGAAACAGGCAGCCGTCCGGGAAGCTTCAAATGAGGCGCAACGCATTGACGAAATGTCTGATAGTGACTTGGTCGATGAGTTACTGGCAACCCTGAACGTGGGTGATGACGTATCTGATCCGAAGGCGCCCCTGCACGTCAACCGGGCGCTGACGTCACCCGAGCGGTTTCAAGAAAGCTCCCGCTACAGGGTGAAAAATCTGGAGTTGCTTGTCGAGCGAATCAACGGGCGACTGGACCGCCACAGCGCCGCTCCCGAGGCCCATCCGGGCGGCTCGCCTCGCAGTTGGAAACGCATGCGCTCTTTTCAGGAGTTTCTTGATACCGACGCCGCCGAGATGGCCACCTGGATGGACCGTATGCATCCCGGTCTGCCGCGCGTCTACAAGAGGGAAAAGAAACATGTAGGCGGAGACATGGTGATCATCCGTGACGTGAGTGAATCCATGGGGGGTTACTATGCCCGATGGGCGGCTTCGGTGGTGACTGCGTTGGTGCAACTGGTGCGCAGAAAACGTATGCGTATCGGATACATCGAGTTCAATCACGTATCGCGCAAGTACAGCCATGGCGGGCGATTCTTCACACGCAACTACGATCAGATATTGGCTTTTGCCGCCAATGTGGCCTGTTCGGGCGTGACCAATTACCAGCTTCCCTTGCATGATGCGCTAACGGAGTTGCGCGCCTGGGGCACCCCCAATAAGCATGTTGTTTTGCTCACCGACGGCGAACCCACCCACGGCGACTGGCTAGTGCGCGCCGAGAGGCGCCTAGCCAAGGACCTGCGGGTCACCATCCACACGCTCTTCATTGGCGACATGGAATGCCCGGAGATCCTGGATGTCCTCTCCGAAGAATCGGGCGGTTGCCAGTTGCTTGCGGCGCCCGATGGACAAGGGGGACTGAGCCTGCAGGAGCGCTAGTCGTAGGTTTTGAGATAGTCGATGATGATCCGGCGTTGCTCCGCATCGGATATCTTGACGAGCATTCTCGAGTTGGGGACAAGTCCCTGAGCGTAGCGTATCCAGGTGTCCAGATTGTCTTCATTCCAGATAACACCGGGGGCAAATCTCCGAAACGCTCCGGAATACTCATAGCCCTCCCTCTTGCCGGCCGGAGCATTGAAAATCCCGCGCAGATCCGGCCCTAACCACACATACGCTTTCTGCCGCTCCGTTACATGGCAGGGGGCGCATTGACGATTGAAGGCGCCCTCACCGGTTACGAATTCCTCGGCCTGCAGCATCGGTGCGTGTATCGTCCCTAGCATCAGAACGATGGTAGCTACCAAGCGTCCGCGGTTCATGATTCAGGTCCCTCCGGGAAATGGTGTTGACACCACTTATGAGTGGGTATATAGCAAACCTCTAAGTGGATCAACGTATCCCACAACTCTCGATCTGAAGTTCTGATACGGAGGGAGCATCATGGGAGATTCCTGGCTGACCAAAGAGCAACTGAAAGTCTTGCGGCGTGCCAATGAGGATGAGGGATTTCGTTTACCGATTCCGACACAGGTCATTTCAGACGGCGAAATCTTCCCGCCCCCACAATCGAAGCAGCAGGCCATGGTCGAGGCGCTGCTCAAGGAAAGGGCCGGCGTTCTCGGCAAGCAACATGGTCTGAACCGGCGTCAGTTTCTCAGAACCGCCTCTGGTATGGCCGCAGCCTTCCTGGCCATGAACGACGTGTATGGCAAGGTTTTTACCGTCGATCAGGCGGAAGCGGCGGATTTCGAAGCGGCCGGCGCGCGCCTCGCGGCCTTGCGCGACCAATTCATCTTCGACGCCCATACCCACCACGTCCACGATGACTACACCTGGGAAGGGCAGCTCTTCCTGCTGCAATACTCCCGGGGTGATCAAGAGGCAGGGTTGCCGTCGTGGACGGGCGAGTTGGAGGGACGTGAGCTCGACCTGAAGTACTTCAAGTTCCCGCATTACGTCAAGGACATCTTCTTTGACAGTGAAACCGATGTCACTATCCTGAGCAATTCCCCTTCAGTTGTGCCGGAAAAAGCAGCTCCTCACGGAGGACCAGTTGGTGGCCAGCCGGAACTACATCAACGGCATGGCGCGCACCAAGCGAGTCTATGCCCACGGTACGATCTGGCCCAGCAATCAACCGTTCCTCGACGATATGGACCGGCAGGCCGAGGAGCTCAAGATCGACTCCTGGAAGGGCTATACGATCGGCGATCCGTTGGGGCTCGTGCCGGAGGCCAATTTTCCCTGGCGGCTGGATGACGAGAAGGTCACCTATCCAGCCTATGAGAAGGCCATGAAGTACGGCATCAAGAACCTCTGCATCCATAAAGGATTGCTGCCGGTTGACTGGAAGTCCTTCGACAACTGGCCTTACGCCGCGGTGGATGATGTGGTCAAAGCGGCGAAAGATTGGCCTGAACTGAACTTCATCATCTACCACTCGGGTTTCAGGGCCTTCATGGACGTACGGCAGTTTGCCGAGGAGTTTGAGCAAAGCGGCAAGATTCCGTGGGTCGATGATCTGGCCGAGATCCCGAAGAAGCACGGTCTCACTAATGTTTATGGTGAGATCGGATTGTCCTTTGCATCGTGCGTTACGACCTACCCCAGGGTCGCAGCCGCCATGCTGGGCCGGCTTATCCAAGGCATGGGCGCCGACCACGTCATCTGGGGTACGGACTCGATCTGGTTCGGCTCTCCCCAGTGGCAGATCGACGCTTTTCGGCGTCTCGATATGCCCATGGACCTGCAGGAGAAATTCGGCTTTGCTCCCTTGGGTCCTGCGGATAGCGAGGTCAAAAAGGCCATCTTGGGCTACAACTCAGCGAGGATGTACGGACTGGGGCTCACGGCCGATGGCCGGCCGGTCGAGGCATTTGAGAAGGATCGACTGGCACGTCTGAGGAATGACTATCTTGCCGCCGGCGGGATGCGTGACAACATTTACTGGGGCTGGATCCATCAACAGGATCGGGCGCCTGCCTAGGCGCTGAGGACCTCCCGTAGTCGGGTCGTCCAGACTCGGTGCAGGAACGTTCGTAAGGAAGTCGGGGCGAAATCCTTTCGCCCCGACTTTGCTCTTCTGGTACAACGCCATCGGGTCGCCGGTGGAGCCGATGATCTTCAGGGGCGACCAGACGAACAGGAGTTCGTACACCTCGTCCCGGATCAGCGGCGTGAAATCAAGATACTCGATATTCCAGTATGCCCGTACCTTGCTGGTCCATTCCAAACCTGTGATTGTGGCCCGGCGCGTCGTTGACTGGCGGTTTCCCCCACCAACCATTCACAACGCCTTCCGCAGCGCGTTTTACGCTGAACCTCCTTGTTTCCGGGTCCCGACAATCATGGTTGTTATCCCGGGAATCCCAACGTAGGCCGTGAGTCACATCCCGATTCCCGCCAACGCACGATAGAGCGTCGCCCGCTTGACCCCGAAGTTACGGCACACCGCGGCCTTGCTGGCGCCATTCTCCAGCGCCGAGAGGATCGCTTCCAGTTTCTCGGGATCGATGACGCGTGGGCGCCCGCCCCATTTGCCGCGTTTTCTCGCTGCCTCCAGGTCGGTCATGATCCGCTCCCTTGCCAAGGCCCGTTCATACTGCGCCAAAGCGCCGAACACGCTGAACAAGAACGCGCCGTGCGGTGTGGTCGTATCCATCTGCTCGGTCAGGGAGCGAAACCCCACCTGCCTGGCCTCGAGCCCGGTCACAATCTCCAGAAGGTGCGGCAAAGAGGGGAAGCGCCAAAAACTGTGGGGCAATCAGGCAGCGAGCTGCTCAGCTTTGACTGACCCGTCGCCGACCTTCAGTCCTGGGTACCACTGCTCAAACTTCTCCCGCAAGGTGCCGTCAGGGTGCGCGTCCGGGCCTGCAGCATGAGATGAGCCCCACCTTTCGACCACCGCATCTGCTGACGCTTGCCAAAGCGTTTGCCGACAACCGTGTTGATGGCGCTTTCCACGAACCCGGTGGAAACGCGCTCGCCGTAGCGCCGCCGCTCGGCATAGTTGGGAATCATGCCCTGCGTTACTGCGGATGTAGACCTCGAACTCGCCGGCAGCTTTGCGCAGCGCCTTGATGCCCGTATAGTTCGTCTCGATGTCTTCCAGTTCCATGACAAGTCCCTCGATCGCAGCGCCGTCCGTCATGGAGGTTGCCGTTCCACAGGTAGCCCTTGATCTGGCGCAGGAGACGATCCACGGCTGCCCCGCTATCCGGATTTGTATGGCTTAGTCCCTTGACGTACTGGCGCATGACGGCGATGCGCATGGTGATGTGGAACCAGTCCAGCAGGTGCTCGGATGCCGGGGCCATGTATTGCGCCATGTTCCTGACCGTATCGCCGCCGTCGGTCAGGAAGGTGACGGGCTGATTTTCCTGCCATCCCTGGTCCTTCAAGACCTCGTGCAGGCGGCGGCGCGGCCGAATGTCGTAGGCGTGCACGAGTCCGAGGTAGCGGTTTGCCCCATCGGCGGGCATCGACTTGGCGACCATGACTTCGAAATGCGGCTGTTTCTTTTCCTGCGAGCGTACATAGCCGCCATCGATGCCGACCGTGATCGGTCCCTCCGGCAGCGGCATGACGGCTCGGTCACGCGGGCACGTTTCGATGAAGGAGAACTGTTCATCCGCCAGTTCGTCTTCCATTCGCCTGGCGGCCTTGTGAAGGGCCTTTGAGTAGCAATAGAGTAGAGTCGGCGACTGGCGCGGTAGCGGTAGCAGTAGCGGTAGGCCGATGGGGGTAGCTGTTGCCGGCGGTTTTCGCAATGCCGGTGCCTCACTCCTCGCCGTGGCTCCGTTTCCAGTCGCCGCTCATCAGTAGGGTCGAAAGCTGGCGCGGTAGCCACAGGGTCGGGGAGTCGCAGTTGGCCGGAGGCTTTCGCCATCATCCGGTACCTCAGTCCGCCCCTTAACCCCGTCTCCAGCTTCCGCCACGTCGTACGCAGCATGCGGATTTCCCGCACTACGCACTCCTGCCCGCTTCACGCCAAGGGTTATGCGACCCATCAGACCGGGAGTGCTTTCAACCGTAGCTGGAGAGCACCAAAAACTGTGGGGCGCATCTCATGCTGCAAGTCCGGACGCGAACCCTTGACGGTACGCTGCGGGGAAGTTCGAGCAGTGGTATCCGGCTGAAGGCCGGGGCCAGATCGGTTGAAGCTGAACCGTGCGCTGCCTGATTGTCCCACACTTTTTGGTGCTTCCGGAGCTGATGGCTACGACCAGCAATTACGCGTTGCGCCTGCTGGCCTCGTTGAAGGCCGAGGCGCAGCGCGTCGCGGCCGCTGAGGGGACGACGCTGAACCAGTTTATCAACGTTGCCGTGGCGGAGAAGCTGGCGGCGCTGCGTACGGCGCGCTACTTCGAGGAGCGCGCGTCGCGGGCGAAGCCGGGTGGCTTTGACCGTCTCATGGAGACGGCGGGTGATGAACCGCCGCGTCCAGGTGACGAAATCTTGCCGGGTCCATAGCACGTCGGATTTCAGGTTGCAGCGGCTGTGAAAATGTACGATGTCTATCGGAAAACCTACTTGGCATTGCCCGATGTCGCCGGGAATGACTCCGCTCAAACGCCTTGTCGCAAATTTTCGTTCCAATGATTGTCACGGGTCAATACCGGGAAGGCAGTCGTCACGAAGGATAACCTGCAGCTCTTTGCCGAGCGCTCGGATATTCTCCTGCGCCGTGCCAAGGAACTTGGGCTGCGACGCTGACAAGCGCGGTCAGAATCGGCACGGCAAAGGCCGCTACATCTCTGGAGTCGCAGTGCTCCTCAACAAGCCATAAAGGCGGGACCAGGCAGTATTGGCACTGCTTGTCCCGCCTCGGTTGGTGGTCATGGGAGTTCAAACGCCACCAGCGCGGCGCTTTGCTCGTAATGCAGCAGCTTGTCCGCGAATGCCGCGGCAATTCCCCCACCAACGTAGGAACCATGACCGGAGACGACGGCGACGTATTGCCTGCCGCCGGCCTCGTAGGAAATGATCCCGCCATTGTGGCCGGAACCGGTGTTGAAGCGCCACAGGACGTTGCCGTTCCTTGCGTCCAGGGCTTCCGCGTAGCCGTCATAGGTACCGTTGAAGATCAACCCGCCGGCCGTGGACAGCAGCGCCGAGTGCGGCACGATGTCATAGCGCCGCTCCCAGGCCATTTCCCCGGTGAGCGGGTCCCGCGCCGTGATGAAGGCGTGATAGTTCTCAGGCCCTTCCTTGGTCGGGTCGGCCGGATCCGGCGGCCGGGCCACACCCCAAGTAGCAGACATGAACGGCTGCGCGAAGGGTTCGGTGATCCGGCTTGTGGCGCCGATGGTGACCGCGTCCTGACCGCCTTCCTTGGCGATAGTCAGCCACATGCACCATTCCTGCGCAACGCGGTAGAACAGGCCGGTACCGGGGTTATAGGCACCGGCGTTCCAGCTGTGCCCACCCTCGATATGCGGGCACACCAGCGTTTTCACTCCCGCTTCGGGCCACAACATGTTTTCCCATTCTCCGGTTTCAAGGTTGAACCCGGTGGTCCAATTGATAGCCTTGGTGTTGGGATACACATTGACCGGCTTGCCGGATTTGCGGTCATGCACGTGGTAAAACCCGTTCTTGCCCACGTGCAGCACCAACTTCTGGCCGTTGCTTTCAAACAGCACGTATTCGCCCGGCGACGAATCGTAGTCATACGGGTCGCTGGGCGCTTCCTGGAAATACCAGTTCAGCTTCCCGGTATCCAGATCCAGGGCGACGGTCGAAGACGTGTACAGATTGGCCCCCGGCCGGTAGGCGTCGGCGTTGACGTCCAGGCAGTCCGACCCACAGTAGTCGAAGTCTGGGTTGGGATTGCCGGTACCAAAGAAAATCTGGTTGTTCTCGTAATCCACCGATCCGGTTTGCCAGGAACCGCCCCCGCCATACTTCCAGGTGTCGCCTCCCCAGGTCGCCAGAGCGTGCGGGTCACCCCGTCCGGTGGTATAGAAGGTCCATTTCACATCGCCGGTTTTGGGGTCCAGGCCGAAGATGCGGCCCTCGACGGGGTACTCTCCGCCGTTCTGCCCAATCACCAGCAGATCCGAGTTCACAAACGACCCGCCGCCGCTGAAGCCGGCGGTGTCCTTCTGGGAATCCACGATGTTCTGGTCCCAGATGATCTTGCCGGTCTGTTCATCGAGGGCAACGACGCGGCCGTCAGCCTGCCCCATGTACACCCGCCCGTCGCCGATGGCCACGCCTCGGGTGTGGGCAAAGAAGGTGCGGGAAATGATCGCGTCATCCATCTCCGGGACGTACGCCCAGATCCGTTCCCCGGTCGCCCCATCGAGTTTCCACACCGTCGATGGGTTGACGGGGAGATAGATCATCCCGTCGATGGCCAGAGGTGTGCTGATCAAACCCATGGGCACCTTGCCGGGCTGAAACATCCAGGCCGGGCGCAGTTGCCCCACATTGCCCGTGTCAATTTGGTCCAAGGGACTATGCCGCCACCCCTGATGCGAGCGATTATAGGCGCACCAGTCGCCTGCCGGACAATCCTTGATGCGGCTCGCGGAAGAGTCCGCTAGGACAACCGGAGCCGCCACCATCGCGGTGAGAACGCACACTACGGCCATATGCCCCAACTTCCTCATGAGCAATCTACACATACGTCATCCCTCCTTAGAACGGAGCAGTTGCCACATGCGAGAAGAAGTACACCTTTAATGGGACATAACACATGCATGAGCCATTATCAATACTGTTCAACTGTGTCTGCATTGCCCATGCCTTCCCGTAAAAACTCCCACGGGATGTTTACGTCAAAGGGAGACAGAACAATGGCCAGACCTACGAAGATGGTGCCGGGCAGATATTTTCACAATTCAACGTGATTTCGCCCGATGCTGCCTGCTTTACGTCCGCGCTGCATCCAGCTCCGCTATCTGTTCGGCGGTCAGCGTCAGATCAGCCGCTTTCGCCGAGTCCTCGATGGTCGTCTTGCGGCTGGCGCCCGGAATCGCGAACACGTGCTCCCCTTTGGAAAGCAGCCACGCCAGCGCGATCTGCTGGGGGCTCACACCCAAGTCGCCGGCGATACGCCCCACGGCCGACCCCGTCCCGCCCAGGGCTTTTGCCTGCCCCGTGCCGCCGAACGGCCCCCACGCGACGAACGCCACGCCGCGCTCAGCCGAGTCGGTCAGCGTGCCGGTAGTGTCCGGTTCCGTGCCCGGCGGTGCCGTACCGACATGCCATTCCGGCAGACGATGACGCAGAGAATACTCGCTCTGCACCCCGACGACGCCAACCAGCGATCGTGCCGCGTCGATCTGCGACACGCTGTGATTGCTCACCGCCACGTGCGCGATCTTGCCCTCCACCTGCAGCCGGGCGATCTCTCCGATGCTGTCGGCCAACGGCACCTGGGGGTCGATACGGTGGTAGTAGTAGATGGCGATCCGTTCCACGCCGAGATTCTTCAACGACTGCTCGCACACGCTGCGCAGGTGCTCGGGACGGCCGTCGCGCGCCCAGCGGCTATCGGGGCGCAGCAGGCCGCCCTTGGTGGCGATCACGACCCTGGCGTGCGTCTCCGCTGGCAGTTGTGCCATTGCCTTGCCGAGTAACCGTTCGTTATGGCCAGCTTCGGTGGTGTCGATGCAGTAGCTGTCCGCCGTGTCGATCAGCGTAATGCCGCAGTCGATGGCATGATGCACGATGGCGATTGCGTCGTCCTCGCTGGGTCTGGCGGGCGTGAGTGAAAGCGGCATGGCGCCGAGGCCAATCACGCTGACTTCCAGGCCGGTCGAGCCGAACGGGCGGTATTTCATGGGGCGACTCCTCTATTAGGAAATCTGTCGCTTGTCCGGTGGCACACGTCTCATTACAATCGCAATGCCTATGGCGTTGGCGGATGTTCCTTTCCGGTAAAGGGATTCTTAGCACAGGGGCAACGGCTATGACAAAAACAAATCAAGCCTCCGTTCTTCACGGCGTCGGTGACCTTCGCATTGATGAGCGCCCCGTTCCCAGTCCGGCGTCGGACGAGGTGCGTGTTGCGATGCGTTCTGTCGGCATTTGCGGCTCGGATGTCCACTACCTTGAGCACGGACGCATCGGCAGTTTCGTCGTCGAGGCGCCCATGATACTGGGTCACGAATCATCGGGCATCGTGGAAGCGGTGGGCGGTGGGGTTACGTCTTTCAGCCCTGGCGATCGGGTGGCTCTCGAACCGGGTGTACCGTGCCGGCGATGCGTCCCTTGCAAATCGGGCCGCTACAATCTCTGCGCTGACGTGCAGTTCTTTGCCACACCGCCTGTCGATGGCTCGATGGCAACCTACGTCACGCATCCTGCCGACTTCTGCTACAAGCTTCCAGAACACGTGTCGTTGGATGAAGGCGCCATGATGGAGCCCCTTTCGGTCGGCATTCACGCCTGCGGCCGCGGCAAAGTCGGCATGGGCAGTCGTGTGTTGGTGATGGGCGCAGGGCCGATAGGGCTCGTCACCGTACTGGCGGCGCGAGCAGCCGGGGCCTCCTATATCGCCCTGGCCGACCCGCGGGCGGAACGGTTGGGTCTGGCTCAGCAAGTGGGGGTCGATTATGCCACCAGCGCGGTCGGGCCGACGCTGGCACCTGATCTGGCGGACCGCGCCGGCGGCATGTTCGACGTGTCGGTTGACTGCTCGGGCGCCGAGGCCGCGGTGCGTGCGGCGATGACCGCCACCCGGTCGGGCGGCAAGGTGGTTCTGGTGGGTCTGGGCCCTGACGAGATGACCTTGCCGATCGTCGAGTCCGCCACCCGGGAGGTCGACCTGTTGGGCATCTTCAGGTACGCCAACGCCTATCCGGCGGCGCTTGAACTGATCGCCTCGGGTCAGGTGAACGTCAAGCCGCTTGTCACCCATCGTTTTCCCATGAGGCAGGTAAGCGAGGCGTTCGACATGGCCAAAACGGGGCGTGACGGCGCGGTCAAGGTCATGGTGACCATCTCATGACGGTACCCATCGATCTGTCAGGGCACCATGCCGTCGTGACGGGTGCAGGCAAGGGAATCGGCAGGGCGATTGCCCTTGAACTCGCCGCCGCAGGGGCAGGCATCTTCGCCGTAAGCCGCACGGAGGCCGACCTGAAGCGTCTTGGCGTCGACGGGGAGGCGCTGGGCAAACCGTATGGCTACGGCGTGGTGGACTTGCGGGGCAAGGCAGGAGAGACGTATGCGGCAGCGAGTGCGTATGACCTGGCGAAAGAGTAGACATAATGGGGGGGGGGGGTGGGGGGTGCGGGCCCGCGCACAGGGCGGGGGAGGTGTGAGAGGGGGATGTGGCGGACGGGGGGAACAAGCAGCAGGCCGAGCGGCGGCTCCGGCTCGGGCGCCTTCCCAGCGGCGGTATATTGGTGGTATGCTTATATGGGGACGGAAAGGTGTGGTTACGACGGTCGCGAAGGGGTAGTGAGTTCGGGTCGGCGGGGACCCCCAGCTGCGGGGTTGCCTGCGGACCTGCTTTTGTGGTGTGGTTAGGACTTGGATTGTTCGGCGGGATGGGGGGGGGCGGTGTTCGGGGGGCGCGTTTGTGGGGTGCTGCGTTCGGGTGGGAGAGTAGAGGGGGATGGATGAGGGGGGGGAGTTGATGGGCGGGGGGTAGGGGGGGCGGATTTGTGAGGGAGGGGGGTGGTGTGGTGTTGCGGAGGTGAGGGGGGGGTGAACGTGGGTGGGTGTTTGTGAGGTGATGGTTGGTGAACAATGCCGGCGTGTCGGACAACGCCCCGGTTCTGGAGGTCAGCGAGGCGCAGTGGGACGCCACGATGCACATCAACGCCAGGGCGCCTCTTTGCCTGGCCCATGAGCTCCTCGGCAGGCACATGGTGAAACAGGGATGGGGCCGCACACAACCTGTCGTCCCAGGCCGCTCCCGTAGGCGCTGGAGTGGCACACGCCTACGGAGCAAGCAGCAAGCGGCCCTGAACCCAAACCACCGTGTGTGGCCTGAGTTGGGCCAAACTCACGGCGTCACCGTGAAATCGTTGCCCCTACCGTAATTCATGAAGGGAAGAGGTTGCCAAAAGTGGGGGCGATTGACAGCAGAATTGGGGGGGTTCGATGGCCATAAATTGAGGCGGGCGGGTCCGTAAAAAAGTAAACAATTCAAAAAAAAACTCCAATAAAAATGAATCAGTCAAGAAAATTTAAAAAAATTATTTAAATCCAATTAATTATAAAATCAAAATACATAATTATTAAATTCACAAAAATAAAATTCTATTCACTACAAAAATAATAATAATCCAAATTCCATTTCATCCATTCCCAAAAAAAAAAAAAATCCATCCACGAGCATGTTTAAACCGAAGGTCGGGCGGGAGCTTCAGCCGCGGAACCTCTCATTGCCTGAATGCCCACTTCCGTTGTCCTAGCCTTGCACGCCTTCCCGTAGTAACGGAAAACAATTGGTCGCGCTAAGGAGGCTGTCGGAAAAATTAAAGTTCAAGGTTAGAGGCTTTGCCTATTTTAACTGAGTTTTGCATTTTGACTCATAAACGTCACGCCTGACCAAAAAAGCATTAATACTTGACATGACCCCAGTCCGTAATCGCTTAGTTGTCACAATCCAGTCCACTAAGCCGTTCGAGAGTTCTCCCTCACCGCCCGACAGGCTTCCCAATCGTCGTCAGCGTTCGACGAGTCCATTCATGCGGACCGCATCGCGTGCATGTCGTGCATCGAAACTTTACGCGGAGGACAAGATACCACTTGGCGGGTCTGCCCTTGCAGCTGCGCACCTGACAATCTCATACCCCCCCAATGCTGCTTGCCGTACCCGATGAAATGTCTCGTTGCCCGTACCAAACGATGGCGGTACACCATCAAAATGCGAAAAAAGTACATCCCAAACCAACCAGTTGCTCACCAAGGCCTTGCTCGCCTCAGCCGCAAAACGGTTCCTTCCAAAAACAACACGATGCGAACCGGGTGAATCAGCGTCGCAAGGCGAATCGTTTGCACTGAAATACCAGTCGCAACGCTTGCCCACAGCACAGCTTTCTTGTCTGCAAAGGGTCATTGGCCAGCCACTTCTTGCATCTTTTTTCTAGGCACTCAAAAGACCACTTCGGTTGAGTTTCAAGGCGCCCACATAAGGCGCTGCTGTGCACATATCAAGCATGTTCAGAATCTTGGGCCGTGGAAAAAAAAAAAAAAAAAAAAAAAAAAAAAAGTGAAATAGCTGTCAAAAGGTGAAATCGCCGGACATTCCCGCGAACAGGGCCATCGTCAATCAAGTCGAGACACAAGCCTCGTGATCCTTGACGCCTCGGAACAGGCAGCTGTCTTTTTCCGAACCGCTAGCAATTCGATCGGATATGACTGCCGAACGGGACAGACCGTAGTTGGAAATAACTGTATCGTCGGGCGATGACGTGTCCACTGTGGTCATGGTCCCACAACCACCGACTATACTAGATGAGCTTGCCGCGTGATCGACAACAGGGTATTATCAAAAGGGCAAAAGAAGAGACCCGTAAACGAGGGCCATAGCGGTCTATCGGGTTTCCTGCAACCAGGCCAGACGGCGGTCTTAGCACCGCACGCGTCCCAAAGACCGCCTAGACCAACAGCGATTGAGGCAGGATTTGGATCAGTAGTAAACGGCAAATTGGCGATTGATGGCGTGAGGTTCTTACGCCTGCCCCCACATCACACACCGGTGAAGAGATCAGCAATGCCGAAAGGGCGGGTGCGTGCAAAGTACACCATCGGCCGATAAAGGGCCAATGCTTTTAACAATGCTTGGGAAGTCACGTGTCGGCATAAGAGAGCAGCCGCGGAAAAGTTTGGAAGCGTAGGAGAAGGGACGCGTACTCACCTTTCGATCGCAGGCCAGATGGCAAAACCTCAGTTAAAGATCGCGTCGCGTCATTTGGTCTTCGGGGCGCGGGCGTTTGGGTCGCGGTCTCTCCAGCGGGTCGAAGGTTTGTCGTTACCGTCACGGAGGGCGTGTCATCCCCCATAGGGCTTTCACAGAGCCAAATTGAACCACATGATCTATTTATTGGGTAGTTGCCATGAGTGACTTCTACTTGACTGAGT